CTCTGTGGCTTTGGAGTCTGTCCTGGAACTAGCTCTGTAGACCAGGCTGGTCTCGAACTCACAGAGATTCGCCTGCCTCTGCCTCCCAAGTGCTGGGATTAAAGGCGTGCGCCACCACTGCCCAGCCAGAACCTAACTTTTTAAACCCTCAGCTATTCTGACAGCCTCAGGAAGTCTGCGGCCTGATTTCTCTCAGTGTGTCAACTCAACTAAAACTTTCGGTTTGTGGAGACTATGGGGTCCTCTGTGCCACATATTTAAAACCTTGACTTTCTGAAGCTGGACAGACGGACAAATGGTTTAGCATTTAAAGAGCAGGTACTGGGCTGGAGAGATGGCTCAGTGGTTAAGAGTATTGCCTGCTCTTCCAAAGGTCCTGAGTTCAATTCCCAGCAACCACATGGTGGCTCACAACCATCTGTAATGACGTCTGGTGCCCTCTTCTGGCCTGCAGACATACACAGAGACAGAATATTGTATACATAATAAACAAACAAACAAACAAATAAATATTTAAAGAGCAGGTACTGCTCTTGTAATGACCCAGGTTCAGTTCCCAGCACCCATGCTGAGCAACTCACAGCTGCCTGTAACTTCAGCTCCAGGGAATCCAACACCTTCTTCTGGTCTCCTGGAGCACTTATAATCACATAAACATACCTGTACACACAGTTAAAAATAAAATTAACCTTATAAGTAAGTTAAAATAAAAACTCAAATGTCCTAAAACTAACTCAAGAGCCCAATACCTAGAGAGTAGGTAGGTGGGAACTTATCCCCCCCCCATACACACACAGACAGGGTCTCACTGTAGCTCTGGTTGTCCCGGGACCTCGCCCCCCAATCTCACTGCTCCAGAGTCTTTGTTCTCACTCTGCAGGACACACACGTGTGCATGTGAACTTGCTCTGTGAAGCGCTCAATACACCTTGATGGTGCCTGGGCACACATAATCACACACTGTCCCTTGTCATCTGGGCTCGATGCCATCATTTGCTGGGCTCTGAACTTCCTAGGAAGGCATCAGTGGAACCTGGGGTCTTCACTGTCAACTCTGAAGGGCTGGGGCTGGGAGAGAGCATGAAAACGCTGAGCACACAGGGCACCTCCTGAAGACGCACACCCAGCCCGTCTTCACCTGTTCCACGCTCTCGTCCCAGTTCTTAGGAATGTCTTCCCCTTGGGCCATCATGAGTTGACTCCGTTTGGGAACCAAACAGAAGTGCTCTAATCCAAAGTAAAGAGAAATTATAGTGTCAGGATCCCTTACCAAAAAGGTTAGGGACTTTTTAGTTTGTCCCTAATGTTTGGATTTCAAAGTAGCTCAGATTTTTGGAGTATCTGAATAGGCTTTATCAGTTGATCCAAAATGCTCCAAAATAAAAACTTTTTTTCAACAATCCCAACTGCTTTGAGACAGGATGATCACTTGGACTCAGGAGTTCAGGCTCAGTCTTGGCAACAGAGCAAGACAAAAATTCTCTTTTAAAAGTTTCAAAATTCAGAGTGTTTTGAAATTGTAATCTGCTCAGCCTTTGTTGGAATGAAGCCGTCTTTCATTCTTCACTCACCAAGGATTTTACTGCACACTTATCTGGGGTTTCTATTGCTAGTGGTGCACGCCTTTAATCCCAGCTCTTGGGAGGCAGAGACAGGTGGATCTCTGGTGTGGGAGAATTATCTGTATTCTGTCAATTATGTTTTAAATAAACATTGATTGGCCAGTAGCCAGGCAGGAAGTATAGACGGGACAACCAGACAGGAAGTAGAGGTGGGTCAAGGAGGACAGGAGAATTCTAGGAAGAGGGAAGCCCATTTTCTCTGTAGTTGTGAGCCCACCACAGAGGAAGCAAGATGTGACTGTCCCGCTGAAAAAGGTACTGAACCATGTGGCTAGCACAGACAAGAATAATGGGCTAATATAAGTTATAAGAGTTAATAAGAAGCCTGAGCTAATGGGCCAATCAGTTTATAACCAATGTAGACCTCTGTGTGATTTCTTTGGGTCTTAATGATTGCGGGAACTGGGCAGGAAAGAAACCCGACAACAGATCTCTGTGAGTTCAGGGCCAGCCTGGTCTACAAAGTGAGTTCCAAGACAGGCTCCAAAGCTACAGAGAAACCCTGTCTCAAAAAAAAAAAAATCAAAATAAGAAACAAACAACAACAACAACAAAAACCCCAAAACCACCCCCCCCAAAAAAAAGGAAAAGGAAAAAAAACACGACCATGACCACTATGACAGAAAGCAACTTGGGGAGGTCACCTCACCTTACAGTTCATAGTCCATCACTGAAGGAAGTGCAGGCAGGAACCTGCAGGCAGAAACTGGAACAGAAGCTATGGAGGAGTGCTCCTCATTGACTTGTTCTCTAAGGCTTGCTCAGCCTGCAATCTTGTATCAGCATTTGTACAGAGGTGGCCCCACCCACAATGGGCTGGGCCCTCCCACATCAATCACTAACAATGGAAACTGAAGATTTGCCTACAGGCCAGTCACAAAGGAGACGGGTTCTTAATTGAGAGTCCCTCTTCTCAAACAACTCTTGCTTGTGTCTAGCTGACATAAAACTAGCATACCATGCCAAGCCCTGGGTTAAATATTAGAGCCACTGGGTTTAAAATTAAACACGGATGCAGGCTCGGGAAGAGCAGAAAGGGTGGAATTAAAACAGTCTCAGAAGGGCTCATGTTTTCCCCACAGTGTCTATGAAAGGGCCGTGTGAGGGCTCACGTTTTTTGAGGGAAAGAGTTCCTTCACTGCAATGCTCTGTCAGGGGCATCCCCAGGTATGAGTTCTGAAATCCTTTTAACACAGGCCCTAGACCCGGCCAGCTGTGTTCTGCACACGGCTCAGTGACCACTGCTATTTACAGACGAGACACAGAAGCCGAGAAGCGACATTCGCGTCCAGGCACCACAGGAAGACATGCCGCCAGCAGCTATCCTCGGGTTCTGTCTGACTTCAGTGACAGACAGTGAGCCTGTGGCAGCAAGCTGTTCCCAGTTCTAGACAGGCAGGCTTCCACGTGGGAACCAGAAAACCCTACGAGGCTGCTTCACCAATGCCTCCACGGGCATGCAAATGCCAGGTGCCACCAGCGTCGCGGGCAATGTGGGTCTGCCAGTGCCAGCAGTAAAGGCGGTGTTGGTGGCCTCAACAGTCATGAGAGGTAGCCATGCATCACCCTGTGAGCATTAGGTGAACTAGGCATTGCCTCAGTACTTACTATGGGTTAATTTACTAAAAATGTACGACTCAGCAATAACCTCGGGAGGAGGAAAGTGTAGGCGTGGCTGACATCTTCCTATCCTGCGGTGTGAGCCTTAGCCTTTAACGCGGAGCCATCTCTCCAGACTACAGCTGCCGTCCTCCACAGCTCCTTCCTACAAGAGCTGAAATCTTGTCGCTCAGCCCTGCGTCTGGCCTGGCCTTGTAACTCGTTGGACCCCTGAGCATGTGTCAGTTCCAAACCTGGGGTTCATAATGTCCAAGCTAGCTTTTGTACTTCCATCCGTGGACTCTCGCCACGGGAAGAAGCCTGAGATAGACCAGCCTGCTGCCCAGGGCTGATGTGGCCCAGCCACCCTTTCACTTCAGACGACAGCTCGCCAAGCACCAGATGTGTCCTGCCAGCTCACCATGTACACATCAGCAAGCAGAAGCAGAGCCAGGCTGGCAGGCCACCAGCTGGCCCACAGACTCCGAAGGGAAGGCACGTTTATTGCTTGAAGCCACAGAGTTTAAGCCCCTGGGTGGCCTGCTGTGTGGCAATATGTAACTGATAAAGACAGGAAACACCTTCAAGGAGAAGGAAGGTGTGAAGATGGAGAATTTTTCAGCAAACATGGTGGATAAAGAAGAACCTTAGGCTGGGAAAAGTGGGGCTCAAAGGGAAGGTGGGGGAAAGCAGCCTGAGGAACGGAGAGAAATTCCAGGTAGAGAGAGAGGAAGTTGAGGGGGAGACACACAGGACATGACAAGGTGGGGGACACTACTGGCGTGGAAAGAGAGCCTCAGCCAACACAGTGTCTGCCTCCTGGCAGACGGCTGCAGGGCTCTGGGCTATGACCAACGCAGATTGGTTCCAGACTCCCCCCGCCCCCTCCCCCGGAGAGTCTACTTTTCACCGACCGAGCTTGAGAAAAAAGGGAGAAATGTGTAGGCAACACAAGGGACAAGCAAACTCAAAGCCAGCACAGAAAGGAGAGGGTGGCCAGAGGGCGGGGACCTTCAAATCGCGCGGGTATTTGAAGTAGGAAGAAGGGTAAACATTGCTGTCAAGTCATCACCGCAGAGCACCCGCCTGGAATACAAGCGGCTTCAGGGGATGGAGGGGAAGGACGGCTTCAGCACAGGGAGTCCAGGCCAGCCCAGGCAACACAGCAGGCCACCTGCATTTAAGAAGAAATCAAACTGCAGACACGGTGTGGTGCTGTGCCAGTAAGATTTCAGGCATCCGTTGAAAATGGAACAAGGCGCCGGGCATGGCGGCACACACCATTAATCCCAGCACTCGGGAGGCAGAGGCAGGCGGATCTCTGGGAGTTCGAAGCCAGCCTGGTCTACAAGAGCTAGTTCCGGGACGGGCACCAAAGCTACAGAGAAACCCTGTCTCGAAAAACAAAAACAAAAAAAATTAAAAAAGAAAATGGAGCCAGGGCTTTCCTTTGGGAAGGCCCCTTTCTTGACCCTTGGCATTTCCTAAAACTGAAAGGACACTTTCCACGTCCCCCTCCCTGGCCATCCCCACCCCCAGCAGCTGTTGTAGTGTTTCTCCACTGGCCCCAGGTGACTGCACAGGCTCTCCTGGCTCTGAGCGCAGGGCTAGGCCTGCCAGGCTCGTAATGCCTCCCGAGGCCGCCAGAGGGCGCTGAGCCGCCGCCTTGGGGAGAGGCTGGCCCGGTATTTGTGTATTTGTGTGCATGTGTGTGTGAGTGCGTGTGTGTGTTCGTACGTGTGTGTGCGTGTTATTTAAAAGTAGCGTCTGCAGCTCGAGCACCTTCCCCTGCACGTTTCAGCCGGAGTGGGGTGAGGTTAACTCTAACGTGGGCCGCGCAGGGTTTGCGCCCCAACGCAGATTGGTTCCAGGCTCCCCCCCCCCCCCCCCCCCGCACGTCCCCCCCCCTCCACCAGATTGCTCCAGCCTCACACCATGGAAGTTATCCGGACCTCGAAACCCGATGGCCTCTGGGAGTTCTCTGGGGACATTCTGGGGAGTGTCCGATTCGAAACTTGTTTCGGTTCTTAAAAATAGAAACAAAACCGGTCGCGGTGGCGCACGCCTTTAAACCCTGTACTCCGGAGGCCAAGGCAGGTAGATCGCTGAGTTCGAGGCCAGCCCGGACAACAACACGGGGACAGAGAGAGAACCCTACGGGACAGAAACAAATCCAAACCTCATTAGCCTGGTGAGATGTCTCAGTCATTATTCTCCCGCAGGAAGCTGCTGCACGTCGGAGCCTCCTGGGATTGGCAGAGTTAAAAATCCTTCAACCCAGGATGCTGTAGGCCTTTTGTTCAACCCTGACAATGGAATTAGGAATTGGGTGGAGGGGGCTGGGAAGGCAAGGAGCTGTGGTCGGGATGCGTCCTAAGGATGCGGGTCTGGAGAAGCCCGTGTTGAGTCACCAGGTGCCTAAAAAGGATGCGGCCCCGCGTGTGAGCCGAGCCGGTGTGTGCTGCGCGCTGCGGAGGGCTGGAACGCTGGGCTACCAGGCTAACCCGTGTGTGAGAGTGCCTGCTGCGCGTTCAGTAAGTCCTTAATTACCTAGGGAGACCTTCGGAAGCAGGAACTCAGTATTGGTCCCTAAAAGGTTGGGTAATGGATTTTCCTTACATCTGAAATCCAAGGGGACCAATCCCTGGTTCCCCATGGATCTCAGGCTCTTCTGAATGTCTTTGTCTTCTAAAACCCTGGGCTCCCATGAGAGAGCACTTAGTTAAGGACACAGAGATGGGTACCCTTCCACCTATCAATCATCCTGAAACCATTGTTAGGAATTTCCTGCTCCTTCATCAGACCTCAGCAGCACTGTGAACAGACCAGGAGGGATGTTCATTTTGTCTTCCGCGTTTTACCCCGCCCACTCTCCTGTCCACAGCTTGCCCCTGGGATACAGGGAAGTCTCTGGCTTCCCTCTCCTGTCCTGCAGCAGCCATCCTGAGACACTCAGCCCATCTTCACAGTTGGGTTTGGTGTTCCTTCTCCAGTCAGTATAGTGGCGCATGCCTCTAATCCCAGAGTGAGCGTCTGGGATACGCAGCAAAACCCTGGAGAAGGGGGCGGGGCAGGGGAAGGTGGACAGGCAGTGCTGGTTTAGGAGCTGCCTCCTGGAAAGGTGGGACTTAGGAACTTACCAGCTGTTTGTTGTGATGAAGTTAAAAGGTAGTTCCATGAACAGTTAAATTTCATACAAAAGCAAAATTCAACTATGGGATCTAACAACAACAATAACAAAAAACAAAAACAACAAAAAAGAACTTACCAGCAAAAAGGGACAGAGAATAGCCCTGAAGACAAATGCTCCAAAAGAAGGCAGAGCACACATCCGGAGGCAGAATTTAGCAGAGTGGAGAAAGCAGCCCCCCCAGGGGCCTGAGGATCAAGCCTTGCAGGCTTTTAGATTGTGGGGTGTCATCTGAATGCGGTGGCTGACCCTGTAGTTCCAGGCTAGGTCAGAGTCAGGTTCTCCCAGTTTCTCAGCTTCTTATCCAAAGAACCAATCCAGGCTTGGCTTAACCCCTTACCCACACAGCCTCCTGGTTGACTCCAATCCCAGTACTTGGGAGGCAGGGGCAGAAAGGTCAGGAGTTCAAGGCCATCCTCACCAAAAAAAATGACTGAGGAGACGAGGGAGAACTCAGAGACAACCAAGGACCCTAACAAGAAGAGGGAGTGGGCAATGGCTAGTGACTTGTCTTCTGAAGGAGCCGGGTTTTGTTTTGTTTTGTTTTCAAGACAGGGTTTCTCTGTAGCTTCGGAGCCTGTCCTGGAACTAGCTCTTGTAGACCAGGCTGGCCTCGAACTCACAGAGATCCCCCTGCCTCTGCCTCCCGAGTGCTGGGATTAAAGGCGTGTGCCCCCATCGTGCGGCTCCAGGGTTATTTTATTTAAAGGTTTTTAATTTTGTACCAGGCAGTGGTGAGGGAAACCTTTAATCCCAACCCTTGGGAAGCAGAGGCAGGTGGATCTCAGTGAGTTCAAGGCCAGTCTGGACTATAGAGTGATTTCCAGGATAACCAGGACTACATAGAGAACCCCTGTCTCAGAAAAAAAAAAAAACACAAATTAATTTGTTTATTTATTTACTTTTGAAGGCAGATCTTGCTATGTTGTGCAAGGTTAGTATCAGTTACTATCAGGCATGAGTTTTATGACATCCGGCTTCAGTTTTAAAAATGAACTTAATATGTTAGAGCATTCCTAAGTAGTAGACAGTACAAAGATTTATTCTATTCCCCTGGCTTTGGCACATTGCTCCCCCATTGTCACCACAAGACAGCACATTTGATGAGCCTACTGAGGCACATTACTATAAACTGGCATAAATAAAATCTTGGCTCTCTCTCTCTCTCTCTCTCTCTCTCTCTCTCTCTCTAGTACAGGTGGGCTGGAACCCATATATAGCTGAAGATGACCTTGGACTTCTGACCTCCAGCTCACTTTTCTTCTTTATTCCTGATGTTGCATCTTATTCCTTGCTGAAAATAGGTTTTCTGTTCCCGCTCCATAAGATTCTTCACCAACGCAGTAAGCCAGACCAAGTCAAACTGCAAAGAATAACAACAGGTCTATATGAGCAGAGCAACTCCTGGGCAGGTTCTCCGGTCCCAGAGATTGAAGCCAGTGAAGCCACACCGCTGAACTAAAGCAGGGGGACTTTACAGGTTGTAGGCCAGGAGCGATGATGTGTCCTACACAAGCTGGCTTTGTGCCCAGGTACGGTAGGCGGGGACTTGGACAGCTGGCAGTTTCAGGGGAGGAAGGTGCAGTGGCCATCAAAAATTCAAAACTGGACTTTTTGGGGTGCCTTTCCTTTGTTTGGAGACTCTCTGAGAGGCTGGGTTTGGGGGGGGGAAGGTGTTTTCTGGATTGCACAGGGGCAAGCTGGCGGCTCCAACCAAACAACGGACAATGGCAGGTGCCCTGTTATGCTACGTGCTAGGTAGTTTAACGGCCCTAGGGGGCCAGGATTTGGACCGATATACTGGGGTCCAAGGTGTGTGGCCTAGGGATTCTCTCTTGGTGAGGACTGTGAAGACACTGTTCTCCTCAAGGGCTAGCAGACTTTGGACAGAAGGAAGTGTGTGTGTGTGTGTGGGGGGGGTCTTGTCAGAGGTCAAGTCTTACACAAGGCACAGGATGGTTGGAGATGCTCACTCAGCAGTGGGCTGGGGAGCAGTGCTGAGGAGAAGGCTTCAGGGCTGAAGGGACTGCATGCCTGCCTATTGTACCTGTGCAGGTCTGACCGAGCTCTTGCCTGCTAAGTGGGATACAAACGCGACCTGGCTTCCCCTCAGCAACCAGCTGTCTGTCACCAGCAACAGCAGTGCAATCCTGGACTGAGGGGCCACAGGACCAGAATTGGAGTCTAGGGTCTGCAGATGGGTGCTAGGGGCAGGGGGCTCTCGTCCCCTCACCCAGCTCTAGGCAGCACCCAAGGGTTGTGGGTGCACATCTTCCGTGACCCGCTGCTTTTGTGCTCACAGACCCGTGAGCCTCCAAACTAAGGAAACTCCCTGGGTACCAAGTGTCTAAGGAGGCACTTCATCTTCATAGTGCTCAGGTCAGTTAGTTGTTGGGCTTGGGCACTCCTGTGATAAGGAGGCCGAATCTACAGACTGACATTGAAGGATGGAAGGCAGCCTTTGACCTACGTTGTCTTCCAAACACTCACTGAAGTGAGAACCGTCAGAGACCCTTCACCTCCATCCTCAACTCTCCCAACTCCTCCTGATCACACACACACACACACACACACACACACACACACACACACACACACACAACCTCTTTTCCTCTCTAGTCACTGCACACTGGTGACAGTCATTCTTCTTAGGCTCCAAATACCCGTGTATTTTTCTGTATGTAGGCCATGACACCCGAGACCAAGCAGAGCTCTGGTCATGCCTTACACTCTCAAGGAGAGCAGGATGCCTTCACCAGGGCCCACTGCTGTCAGCGCAGCCTTCTCCTCAGGTGGCGGCAGGGCGTGGACCACCTCTGGTGATGAGGACACACTGGGGGACCCCGAGTTCTTTGCTTCTGTGTTCATGGCCTAAACTGGTTGTCAGCTGGTTCCTGCCCGTGGCTCAGACTCCTTCGCAGCTCTGGGTAACCATGCCACCAAAACAAAGTGCAGGTTCTTTCCTGACCCTTGGACTCCGAGGCCTGGAGAACTGCTAAGTCAGGAAGTGCCCGGGGAATCCAGGAAAGAGTCTCTTTGCAGGCAGAGCATGAAGCTGGGCGTGGGGGTGTGTGTGGAAGGAAGGAGTCCCTAGGCAGGCAGAGCTTGAGGCCCCCTGTGCTGCAGGACAGCTGAATCCTTTTGGTTCCAGATCTTTCCAGCCCTGCCAAGCCCTGCAAAGTTCTATGAGGGGAACACCAGGTGCTGAGCTGGTCCCAGTCTGAACTGGAAGTCAAGGGCGGGGCTGTTTAAGGCTGGCAGTCGGCTCCCTGATAGGTCTAGGAGACAGCTAGTATCCTCTCAGCCAGTGCCAGGCCAGCGCCGCCGTTGACCCTGCACGCACTGAAGAGAAGGCTGGACACAGGACTGAGGGGGAACTCAGAAGCAGCTCCCTCGCACACGCCAGGACAGCCACACACAGGGCCTCCTCTGCTGGCCATGCAGGATGGGCCAGGCTGGCAGGGAAGCCTGAGAGACTGGCACCCAGTGCAGGGATAGGGCGGCTGCAAATGAAACACAGACCTTGAGCACACAGGCAGGCGGGCGGGCAGGCAGGCGGGCAGGCTCACCCAGAGCCAAGAAATCCTGGCTAAAAGCTAAACTACAGAGCGAGGAAAAGCACCGGGCAATACTTGAAACCAAGCAAGCCCCCTGCAAATGTTGGATTGCTGACAGCCAAGGAGCCAAGCCAAAGATTTTTTTCCTGCTGGCCTAAACGCAAAAGCCGAGGACTCAGGGGAGGTGGGAGAGTGGCCTGAGAGGAACTCTGAAAGTAGAGAGAGGTCTCGAAGCCAGAAAATGGTCATCCAACTCAGACCCCAGCGCTCGCACACGGCAAGTGTGTGTGTGTGGGGGACCCTTGACTTCACACACCTTCAAGGCCACACTATCCTGCCAGGCGCTCCCGTGAGGGGGCCTAAGGCAACGTGATGTTTCCAACACTCCCGGGGCCTGGCTGCAGGGCCCAGCTTCCATCTGAGGTACGGTAGTGTGTGAAGAAG